GTGTGTGTGTGCATTATGTGTGTGTGTGTGCGTGTGTGTGTATATATGCATATGCGTGTGTACGTGTATGTGGTGTGTGTGAGTGTGTGTGTGTGTGTGTGTACGCGTATGCTTAGATGTGCACCCATTTATGTCATAGGGAGAAATAATCGATGACCAGTTTGTAAATAATTTTTTTTGTTAGAGAATCGGCATAAATGTAATAATTTTCATCGAGTGCAATGGATATTACATGAAACTTTAACATAGCTACGATGACGAAAGCACAAACGATATAATTATCGTTTATTAGCGACGCCTCGTTTGATTGGTACAGAAGGACAATTAGGGAAAAGTAAAAGGAAAATGCGTATTTATTTGATTAACAAATCAGCTTTTATTTGCTGCGCATATTCCATTAATGATGCAATGGAATCTAATCACAAAGTTAATGAAAACGGAAGAATTGATTCGAACTGCCCACTAGCGATTTTTAAATCTTGAATTATAAAATCTTTTTGCCTGAAGGCAGTCTCAAAAGCCAAGCAGGTTTTGGAAAAGTCGGGTGTGGCGAGAGAGTAGTCTGAATTGAGTTCACACATATGCGGAGACAATCGCACTCAGCGCAGCTAGCACCAGCACCGTGGTTCAAACTCAATACCATCACCACAATCGTATCAGGCTTCCCTCCAAACACTGAGGTAAACCGTCTTGTACTTCAGGGTGATTGGTACCGAGGGGGTTTCTGGTACGGCACTACGACGGTTTACATCGTTCCCCTGCTAGAGGATACGACCAACCAAACTTGGCCGGGACCTAATCTCAGACCTTCCCAGGAGCATAACCAGTGAGCAATCGAATGCCCGTGGGTTACTCCTTTTGTCACCTTATCACCACACTGCGTATTATCCCCGCAGTCTTATTATATAGTGAATAGGCGACTAAATGCATGAAACAATAAGTTGTTTGTAGTAGAGATACAGACAATACTCTCTCATCGTTATGGTTGCTATTGGGATTTATTGACAGATGCAAACACCGAATCTTTTTTGCACTTCAGTGCCAAAAACCTTACGCATACCATTTATTTTTCACTAAGAAGTTGAAGATATTGTCGGATAACCCGATGAATCACCTGAATAATCGAGGAAATCGATAAATAAGAGTAGAAGGAATGATTGGCAATATTAATATTGTATTATTGATAAAGCACTTTTCAGGTTTTTTGCTACAAAATAGGTGCCAGATAGTGGTACCAAATATGGTAACAAATGGTGTAATCAACTTTTTTTTGGGTTAACTTCAATTTTTCCAAGAATTACCAATCATACCGTGTAATTATTATCTTTACTCAATTTGATTTTTATTTTGCATGCGCTCAATTTGACGTATGTTTTGTTCTGCGTGTACTTAATTTGATGTACGTTTTGTTCTGCGTATACTTAATTTGTCGTATTGTTTCATTTTGAGGTATAATTAAATGGAATATATTTTTCTGATTCACTAAGTAATCTTACTGTATACGAACTAATAAATATTAATTTAATAGTTTTGAATTAAACATTAATCATCTTAAAAGAGCATTTATTACAACGTTTTCAGGATGTTTGCAGATTAAATCAGGAATTTTCCGGTTTTTTGCAACGGGCAATATGTGATACCGTAGTTGATGATATCTTTCAAGAGTCGTAAAAAAAGTTTAATTAATAAATATATAAATAGGGATAAAAATGCGTTAAACTTAGGTTAAATTAGAAAGAATCACAGGCTAATTACAACTACCATCCATTTCCGAATGCTTCCTTAGTAGTTCCTTTTTAACAATTTCAGAAAAAATTGTGAAACTGAAATGGATAAGTAAGATTCAAAAGTTCAGAAAACAAGAAGGATGGGAAAGATTAAGTTAAGCTAAAATCTGATCACATACCAGTTAATCATTAGCAAGACGTGCTATATGATCATTTTCTAAAGCTTTCCAATTTGTACGATTCATTTTTGGAACTATTTAATTTTCCGATTCTCCTAGCTCCGTTACTGTTTTTCCATTTGTATCAAGCTAAGCAACAAATCAAGCGTGAAATACTAGTAAAAATATTGTAAATATTATATAAAGTTAAGATAATTAATTAATTGAATGGTGTAAAAATATCATTGCCTCATTTATTTGACGTTTATTAATTTATTCAGATAATTAATCTCAAAAATTAATCCCATCTTCCTAGCAGTATCTCATGTGAATTGATTCAGCCAATTAATTAAATCCAGAAATAAAATTTGATTTTCAACTTATTAATTCATTCGAATAAATAATTTTGGAAATAGAATTAGCTTACTTTTCTACGCCTGTCTTTTATTGATTACTTTACTCAAATAATTTCAAATGTTGAGTTTACCTTTACATTAAGAGGTTTTATACTAAATAACATTGGTAAATTGATTACAACAACTTTTTCATCATTTTGTTTAACATTGGAAATCGTATTCAGTGAGTTAAGATAATCATTTGATTATTGTCAAAACTTTCTGCGAGATCAAACTGATTATCATTTCTAGGTTAACAAATAATTAGGCTTGGAATATTATTGGGTGGTGAAAAATTATCGAAATTACATTTACTGAAATATAAACAAAAAAATCAAAAATTGAAATGATAAAAATGAATGAAACTCCCGAAATTATAGTAGTAACAGTTGAAATTCGGTGAAATGTTTTAGAAAAAAATGATAATTTTTTCGTTTTTATCAAATATTGTAATAAAATAATGACATTTATGGTAAACAAATAAATAAGTACTTGGGCAACTTGTTTCCTAATAACTAATATAAATAATTACTAATTAATTCTATGCAATGATTATTCAAATATTTTGCTGAATTTTTGTTTTTCATTCTTTTTTTTCTTATGCAAAGTATTTTGTTAGTTTACTATTATCAGTAATACATTCAAATTCTAAATTCTTGTCACAATAATATTTCAAATTTAAAATTTGAAAATTTCTAAACCAATAAATCTAGAGCTGGTATCTAAATACTATTAAATAATTTGTGTCGCGAATTTCGATTCGCGAGACTCTAACCATACAAATATATAATCAAATAAATTTCCTATTGTAAATCATCTAACCAATTTACTATGTTTAAAATAATCTCC